TGCAGATAAGTCTCATCCAAATTTTGTTTGCAAGCTGGATAAGGCCATCTGTGGTCTCAAGCAAGCACCACGTGCTTGGTACGCACGGTTGTGTAGTAAGCTTGAAGCTCTGGAATTGTGTCTTCCAAGGCAGACATATCTTTATTTTACTACAATGAAGGAAGGCATATAATATTTATTCTAGTCTATGTAGATGACATCATTGTGGCAAGTTCCTCACCAGAAGCCACAAATGCTCTACTCAAGGACTTGGAGAAAGAGTTTTCCTTGAAGGACCTTAGTGAGTTGCACTATTTTCTAGGAATTGAAGTAAAGAAAAATTCGGATGGGTTAGTCTTGTCACAAGGAAAGTATGCTGAAGACATTATCAAGCGAGCCGGTATGAATCATAACAAGTCGGTCAGCACACCCTTGTCTGCTGTTGACAAGCTCAGCGCCACCGAAGGAGAGAAACTTGGGCCTGAGGATTCTACAAGGTATAGAAGCATTGTTGGGGCTTTACAATATCTAACGCTTACCCAGCCAGATATCTCCTTTGTAGTAAATAAAGTGTGCCAATTCCTTCATGCTCCCACTACCTTGCATCGAAGTGCGGTGAAAAGAATACTTCGATATATACATGGCACACTGAAACTTGGGTTGAATATCAGACGCTCAAGCTCTATGATGGTGAATGCATTTTCAGATGTTGATTGGGCAGGTTGTGTTGATGACCGTTTCTCAACTGGAGGCTTTGCTGTGTTTCTTGGTTGCAATCTGATTTCATGGTGTGCAAGGAAACAAGCAATAGTGTCTCGCTCAAGTATTGGAGCCGAATACAAAGCTCTTGCTAATGCCACTGCAGAGATGATGTGGGTTCATAAGTTGTTGACTGAGTTGAAGATCCAACATCCTCCTGCAACGCGATTGTGGTGTGATAATCTAGGGGCTACTTATCTCTCTACTAATCCTATTTTTCAAGCAAGAACAAAACACATAGAGATTGATTTTCATTTTGCTAGAGAAAGGGTAGCTTAGAAGTTGCTAAGTATTCGGTTCATAAACTCAGCAGATCAATTAGCAGATGGTTTTACTAAACCATTGACATTGGCGAAGTTGATCCAATTTAGAAGCAATCTCAACCTAGTGGCTGACATTGGCGAAGTTGATCCAGTTTAGAAGCAATCTCAACCTAGTGGTGTGATAATCTAGGGGCTACTTATCTCTCTGCTAATCCTATTTTTCATGCAAGAACAAAACACATATAGATTGATTTTCATTTTGCTAGAGAAAGGGTAGCTTAGAAGTTGCTAAGTATTCGGTTCATAAACTCAGCAGATCAATTAGCAGATGGTTTTACTAAACCATTGACATTGGCAGTTGATCCGGTTTAGAAGCAATCTCAACCTAGTGTCTGGTTAAGATTGAGAGGGGGTGTTAAGATGACGTGTTAGTCTGTGTCTAGGTTCATTGTATAGTACTTTATTGTACAAGGTAAGTTAGTTGGATCTAGATAGATTGGATAGATACTTTCTGTTGTAAACAATAACCTTGTACATGCCACCATGGGGTTGTTCCCGTGTATATAAACACATAGCCGAGAGCCCCAAAGGGTATCTCGTTCCACCCAAATTCACACTTCCTTCCCCTTATCTTCTCGGCACACCAAAGTCCCTTCAAAGTTCGTCCAGAATCTGCATGACATTGACTTTAATTCATACCACAAGAACCTCATACCAAGCAGGGGATATAAACTTGAGAGAATTCCTTATTTGACACCAGACAAATGACCCGTTCCTTTATTGGCCCTCAAAAAATTTCCGTTCCCTATTTGACACCGAGTTCATCTTTCATTCCTTATACGACACTCCGTTCGATTTTCCATCCGTGAACCGTTAACTGCCATGCGAAAAGACGATTTTGCCCCTATGGGCCCCACCACCCTTCTCCCTCCTCTCCTCCCTTTCTCCCTCCTATCGCGTCACGTACCCCGCCCAAAAGCAACGGTTGCGAAGCTTGCAGCCGGAGCTCATGACCGACGTCGGGACCTCGCACCACTGGGGCGGGGCTGGAGACCACGACCCGGGCTGGCGGGTGGCCTCCAGAGCTCGCGCCGCCGGGCGGGGCCGGAGCCCACGGCAGGGATGGGTGGCCTCAAGAGCTCTAGTAATTGGCCACGGTGCGTGCCGCGGCAGGGCCGGAGGGCTCGCGGCCGGCCAAGGCGTGGAGGGCTCACGGGCGGGTGCCGCGAGGCCAACGGAGGTCGCGACCGTCGCAGAGCTCGCGGCCGGCCATGGAGCGCGTGCTTGGGGAGCTCGCGGGCAGGTGCGGCGAGGTCCGGTGGAGGTCACGGCTGTGTCGTGGCAGGGCTCCGGCGCGGCAAGGCGCGGGGATGCGGGAGAGGAAGGGGCGCTCGTGACGGTGAACATGAGAAACAAAACGCCCGGCGGGGGCCGTGACGCGACAGGAGGGAGAAAGGGAGGAGAGGAGGGAGAAGGGTGGTGGGGCCCACAGAGGCAAAATCGTCTTTTTCGCATGCCAATTAACGATTCACGGATGGAAAATCGAACGGAGTGTCGTATAAGGAATGAAAGATGAACTCGGTGTCAAATAGGAAATGAAAATTTTTTGAGAGCCAAAAAAGAAACGGATCATTTATCTGGTGTCAAATAAAAAATTCTCTCTATAAACTTCCTATTCAACCTACTCTCTTATGTTTCATTCACAAACCAATAAGATATTACGATTAAAAATCAAACTGGCACTTTAGTTCCCTCCCTCAACTCTCGTCACTGAGTACGCAATTATCGAACACGCCGCAAAGGTTATACACCCAACAGTGATGTGACTGGTGTCGATGCAAAGGTCATACCGCAACAGTGGTGTCGACGCGGTCCTGATAGTAGAGGTAGAATGCGTAGCCGACGTCCATGCAGGCGCACACGATGACACGAACACGGCCGCAACAGGCTGCCATGAATACTTGTCGCCCAATGATGGTGACAGTTGATACGGGTTCTAGCTCAAAATCTGCGGCCGCCTCGTTTATATCCAGTCTTGCCAATCACCTTTGGGGCTGCGGTAAGGTGTAGTAATTCCGTTCCAGTCATTCTGTCAAATAATGGAACTATCTACGTGTAAATGTGTAATAAAGTATGGATTATTGTTAGTAAAATAGTTCACGGTATCTTGTAAAGTTTGGGTGATTATTAGATACTTTCTCCATTTCCAATTATAAGACGTTTGATTTTGTTTTTATCCTAAGTTTAACCGCTCGTCTTATTTAAAAAATTTATGCAAAAATTTATGTAAATTTTTAAATAAGACGAGTGGTCAAATTTAGTGTCAAAAAAAATCAAATGTCTTATAATTTGGGATGGAATAAGTAATAAAATAGTTGCTTGGAATTGAGATAGATTGTTGTCATACATGTTCCTATACGCTTTGGTTTCAGGCTCTTCTTCTACATTTCCCTACAATCTGTAGTGTAAGTCTTAGAAAGCAGGAAGAGGAGCAAGATGTTTGTATAGTAGCTCCAGCCCTCCATGATCCTGCAGTAGTACTTGCCTTCTGGTAGGTACACGCGCTGCTCGGAAGCATGGTGTTACGACGGGCGTCAGGTACCAGCGCAGGGGCCGAGCAAGTGGCTAGGACGGGCGGCAGCAAGGGGTCCTAGGCGTCCAGGATTTGTTATCCATAGATATTCACTGTTTGCTTAAGCTATTTTTTAGCTATAGAACATTGTTTTTCTTTCACAATATTTCAGCATAAGCATTTACATAAGTCAAATTTTAACGTAAGTGAACAGGGTGATTATTCTTATTTCCTTAATTATAGGATCTATAAGATCGAGTTGGTTGTAAACGCTAAGGGATATATATATATCCCTGGACCCTTTGGAAATTAGTCAATGGCTGGCCTCAAGGGCCATCTACCGTGACTCTCAGCCTCCCCCACGTTCTCCTCCTCCTCGAGCACGCCTAGGGCAGCCGCCGCTGCATCCCTGCTCAAGCCACGGCGCCCCAACGCCGTCAACCTCGCCCTTGACCTCCAATCTCCTATCCCTACACTCTTCATAGCCGCGGCAGGATAAGGATCCTATCACATGGTTTTCTCATGGGCGCTAAAGAGTCTGATGCAGATTAAACCAAACGAATAGTTTGGTACTAGCAAAAACAAACCCACCTTTCATCCTCTCTAGAAATCAGAACCATGATTCTGTACTTCAATTTGATGGTGAATTCGTCAACTGGTAGAAGCAATGTAGAAGCACACCATGTTCGCTAGGTTTATAAGCCGTACTTTTTCAGCTAACGAACATTATTTTTCTCTCACAACAAATCAGCCGACAATACTTTCAGCCATGACTTATCAGCCAAGCGAACATGGCATCCAAGGCCTCCTTTGAAATTTAGAAAAGTTCCCCGATTCTGTGTTTTTCTTGTGAAATTGAAAGTTCTCTGAATCTTACATTTTTCCAATGAAACTAAACTGATTCCTATAACTCCTGTAAAATTAATCTGATTCGTATAAAATTTCTGCACGATTCCTGTGGTCAAGTGAGACCTAAAGTAAAACTCTTGCATCCGTAAGATACCACAACATATTTCACATTTCTTGGCGCGGTCTCAGCAAAATTGTTTTTGGTTTTTCCTTCTTTCGCCTTCTCATGTCCTAATGCCGATTAAAAGTGAGAATACATATGTACTGTACTAAAGATGGTGGCATATTTTTCTGCCTAGATGCTGATTGAGCTCGCACGCATTACTCTAACTTTATGGTAGGTTTACACAATTCATGCGACAACATACAACCATGAGCAAACTATACACTCGAGTCTTAGCTTCATACAAGTACACAGCAAATCAAATTCCTGCTCGTACATCCAATGACTTCATTGTTCTTTCTCATACATTATTTAGCACAGACCATTCACGAAGACACATCCACAATGTTACTGATCACATCTGCAGGGAGAGTGCCACACCAACCGCATGCATCTTTGTTGCTTTGATGTATTTTTAGCTCTGTTTCTTTGGTGTATCAGCATACTTCCAGGAGGCAAGTGCAGATGAAGTGAAATGTCTTCCACCAGCCACATCTTCTTCACGTATGTGGCTCCCGATTTCTTTCAGATCTTCGTCTGTCAGTCTCACCTTTAAGGAGCCAATGTTGGAATCTAGATTCTTGATTTTGGTTGTCCCTGAGAAATTGTAGAAAGCATCTGTCAGTGACTAAATGTAGGACTATAATAGTATAGCCATTAAGCATGACTACCTTATTACTTGCTTTGAACTTGCAAAGGAATAGTAAGTGCAACACTCGAGAATAAGTCTGTTAAATCGCACTATGTTTCGAACGAATGAAAGTATTTGACAGCTCAGTAAAAGAGAATAAGAGATCATATGGCACAGACTATTCAACAAACTATCATGCACACACATTTGGAAGGAGGTTGCTTCCCTTCAAGACAAGGAAAGGTTGTTTGAACTGGATGTGTTCCTCTACATTGTTGTGCTTCTCTGCCAAAGTAGATTATATCATAACTGAAAAGGGTTACTCCCAAATGATGCTATTTAAACTATTTCCAATCATTAATGATCTATGAATATGTTGCAATACACTTTTCTCTGAAAGTGTATACAAGAAAAAAGTGTTTGAAAATGCATCTTTGGGTGATCAACTCGGTGAGTCATCAGTTTGGAAGCACTGACCATCGCCAATGGTAAGAGAATGAGATTATAAGGTCACACCTGGTATAGGAACCACATCATCTCCTTGATGCAGAACCCATGCTAAAGCTAGCTGAGCAGGGCTGCACTGGTGCTTATTGGCCAGTTCTTCCATTTGCAGATAAATTTGCTTGTTCCTCTCCAAATTTTCTGCAGCAAACCTTGGGATCCCATGCTGACAAGTCAAAGTTAAATCTGTAAGTGAACTAAGAAAAAGATTTTGATGCAGACCAAGAAATAAATTTTTTTTGGCAACAAAAGAAAGAAATGATATTCTGAGCTAGAATGTATCAATACCAGAACAGAATCAGCGGGCACTTGTTCTTTCACTCCTCTTCCACCGAAAAACCCACGGCCAATAGGACTGTATGTCACAATTCCAATGCCCAATTCTCTGAAGTCCACAGAGCAAAAATAATCTTATTACATGATAATATCGGGCAAGACCAGAGAGAATTTGCAATCCATGAATCACTTGCAGAGCGGCACAATCTCGGGCTCAATGTCGCGAGACCAGAGAGACCACTCCATCTGCACCGCGGTGATCAGGTGCACGGCATGTGCACGCCTGATGGTGTCTGGGCTCGCCTCCGACAATCCGATGTACTTGACCTTCCCCTCCTCCACCTACTTCTTGAGCTCGCCAATCTGCAATAATTTCAAACAAAGAATTCACATGAGCAAACACACCAACCAACAGCTGCTTGAAGGCAGGTAGAATGTGTCAACCGTGTCCTCGATGGGAACTGTGGTGTCAACGCGGTGTTGGTAGTAGAGGTCGATGCAGTCGATGCCGAGGCGGCGGAGGCTGGCCTCGCAGCAGGCGCGAACGTACTCCGGCCGCCCGCACACGGTCCGCGCGCCGCTCTCGTCACGCCGGAGCCCGAACTTGGTGGCCACCTGCACCTGCTCCCGCGGCAGCTGCTTCAGCGCCTGCACACATGCAGCGATCGATGTCTTCCGCGGGTCAGTAAAACTCGCTCACGCTCACAAGAACTCTCCAGGAAAAGAAAAGAAAAGAAAAGAAAGGGCGGACCTTGCCGAGGAGGATTTCGTTGGTGAAGGGCCCGCCGTATTCGTCGGCGGTGTCGAAGAAGGTGACCCCGCGGCGGAAAGCGCGCATGATCACGGCAATGCCGGCCTCGTCGTCCAGCGCGGAACTGTACCCGCCCGTCAGCCCCATGCACCCGAACCCCAGCTTTGACACCTGCATGGATGGAATCAATCGGCCGAGTCGATTCAATCAAGCACTAGGCAAGCGAACAACGAGGGAGCGGAGGCGCGGCCGCAACAGGATAATTCGGGGAGAGGTGAGGCCGTGAGGGAGAGAGATCAAGCGACCTCGAATCCCTGGGTGCCGAGCTTGACGCGGCGAACCAGAGGGGCTTGCTTATCCATGGCCGCTGCCCGCTGGGAACCGAATTAGCAACAGTCGAAGTGAGGAACTAGAGCCACCCCGATAACAGTTGCAATGGCCAAATTCTTTCAGAACCTCTATTTATGCCGATGATGCAGCCATCTTCTTGAACCAGTCCGAGCTGAAGAAGCCATTTTCTTGAACCCAGTCCGAGCTGAAGAAGCCATTTTCTTGATGCCGATGACGCAGTCATCCTAATTTCATTTGCCCAGGTGTCGGGCTCGTCATCAATTTTGACAAGAGCAGTGTCCATTCGATAAGATGTAAGATGTGAGAAAGGCCACGACTACATTATCAAGAAGAAAGAAAAACTCTTCCCACGACTACATTCGGAGTAAGTGCCGCCGGTAGGAGGGGCGGCGGCGGTGGCGGCCAAGGATGGTTGGGTGGCGGGTGTGGCGGGAGAGGTCGGGACTCGGGTGGAATCAACTATGCCCCCGATATATATTTTTTAAAAAGCCACCTGGCGCACTTTATTGATTCAAAAATAGTGTTACATCGTTCATCAGGGCTTCAAGTATGAAGCGAGGGGGTTCATCGATCCAAATATAAGTATGCTTTGACTGAATAGCTAAAGTTGCTAAATTATGCGCTACTCTATTAATATCATATTACAATGCTCAATGGAAATTGAAGAAAGATCCTACCAAAGCATCTTACATTCTTCATAAATTGGCGCTCCTGCTGTTGCTGAGAAACCGCCCTGCTTCATAGTCTCTACTACCTCCAAACAGTCCGACTGAACCATGATTCGGCTGCATCCAACATGCTGGGCTAGTAGGAGCCCCTCTCTAAGAGTGTGCACTTCAGCAGTTGGCGCATCCACCACATGCTCGATAAAGCTATGAGCTGCCGCTATGAAAACACCATTTGTATCTCTCAAAACTCCCCCCGTACCCCATTACCCCTTTCGGGTCTATAGCTAACATTAATGTTCAGTAACAAAATTTCTTTAGGTGGTTTCTTCCATCCCTCACCACGCGTGACAGTCTTCTTCAAAATTCTTTGATAATTTGTTGTCAAAGTAGCAATGGATAAAGCTGCTCTCTCTTGGGATTGGATGGTTTCACCATGAACTAACTTCCTTCTCTCCCACCATATAAACCAGCCACCTGCTAAGATCAATTCAGCCAACCCCAAATGATTCAGGAAAGCGAGAGGTCTTGATCTATTAATCAATTCAGCCACTACCACAGACCACAAGATCGGTAACCTGCTACCTCCCTCTCAATCTCCTGCCATACTCCGATTGTCTGGCAAATCTCTTTTGCGCGCTTACACATAAACAGAAGCATTCAGTAATTTCCCATCCGGGTAATACCGTGCTCTCAAAATTCTTGCACATAAAGAATTCGGTTCCAACAACAGTCGCCATACTTGCTTTGCTAGCAACGCTGTGTTGAAACTTTCAAGATCTCGAAAGCCCATTCCACCTCTACTTTTTGGTATATATAATTTCCACCAAGCCTTCCAATGGATTCTCTTATGCTTGTCATCATCACGCCACCACAATTGTGCAATGACATCAGAAATCCCTTTGCAAATTTTTTTGGGGCTCTTGTGTTCTTGTCCCTATTTTGATGTGCAATTATGATTTTGTCTTCGTTTTTCTAACTTTGTGATTTTGCCCTTAACTGTTCACAAGTCAACGCGATTTTGCCCCTGGTCAACGGTAAAAACAGGGGCAAAAATCGCGTTGACTTGTGAACAGTTAAGGGTAAAATCACGGAGTTAGAAAAACAAGGACAAAATCACAATTGCACATCTGTGTAAGGGGCGAGAACACAATTTTCCTAATTTTTTTTGGGATTTTGAAAACCATACCGGTCCAGTAGCAACCTCAAGCTATCCGCATTTGCCTTGTCTGCCTGCATCAAGATAAGAGAATCATCTGCAAATATCAGGTGAGTCACCATCGGCGCATCCCTGCAAACACGGATACCCTCCAACTGTCCCCTATCCTCGGCACCTTGGAAGGCAGTTAGGTTATTAGTTCGGGGAAAGGGTTCTGTGAGCCTGGTTGGAGTGGTTTGTAGAAGAATAATGGGTTTTTGTTGGGTTCTACTGAATCTGGTACTTTTGTTCAAAACTAAAGAAATTTGAAGCTGCCTTCAGTAAAGAGAAATAAAAAAAGACTGTGAAAAAGGTTGTTGGTTAACTTGATGCAGCTGTTGATGGGTGGCTCAACCTCGTGCTGGGCAATCGGTTTAAACCGACGATTCGGTTCGGTTATTCGGTTTCCAAGAATTTCGGTTCTGAAAAGGATTGCAACCGGTTCCAGAGCAGAAACCGACGATTTCGGTTTCATCGGTTCGGTGTTCGGTTCCAACCGAGATTTGCGTGTACCTGTGTGGGATCTCGTCGATGGCGTGGGGTTGGGACTGGGACGCACCGGCCGCAACGTACCCCGGCTGCCGTTCGCCACACCGCCGACTGCAGCTTGCCTCCTGCGCCTGCGCTGTCCCTCGGCCGCGGACCGCCGCTCGAAGCTCGTCCGCACGCGCGACCGCGCCGCCCCGCTGACCGCTCGAAAACGGCCGCTCGCTACTTCTCCGCGCGGCCTCGCTGCTCGCTCGCGCAGCCGCGGCGCCTCGCTCTCCGCTCACAGTCGGCAGTCGCACAGGCATGGTGGGCCCGCTGTGTGGTGGTGTGATTTGTGAATGGGAGGGGCGCAGTGGGCTACTGTCTGTTGGGCTTTGGTTGATTTGTTGGGCCACGGTTGGAAACCGGGAAGGGGCACAGGCGCACAGGCAGACGGATCCGAGCTCGGTTGAACGGTTTATCGGTTCGGTTTGGGGACAAAACCGATGACAGATCTGTTAACCGCATGATTTTTTTAAGATGCCACGTGACATCCATCAAAACGGACGGAAAAATCCATATCGACCGTTTCCGTTTTCTATGATATTTTTTCCAAATTTAACCAAACATAAAATTTTGTCATTTTTAATTGGTTTTACAAACATTTTTTTGTACTCTTTAATTACTAAAAAGAAAAATCTCATACCGACCGTTTTCGGTTTCTATATTGTAACACCGTTTTCGGCCGTTTTCATCCATACATCCATTTTACTCCCTCCGTCTTAGAAAAAATGTAAATCTCGTTTCCAGAAAAGTAAATAATATTTGAGTTTGACTAAGTTTATAGATTATGTTATCTACTCCCTCCGTCCTAAATAACTGTCGTTTTTTTTATTTTCGTGCCGTAAGTTGGACTGAATTTGTAGAAAACGTGCAATATTTATATCTCTAAATAAATTTATTATGGAGATAGATTCAACGATCTATCTAGTGATATTAGTTTTGTACCATAAATATTAATATTTTTATATATATTTAGTCAAAGTTGTTTCTCAGGAAGCGAAAATGACAATTATTTAGGGACAGAGGGAGTACACTTGAATCTCCAATTAGGATTATTAGGAAACTATATTTCATGACTAATCCAATGATACTCAAAACACATCATAAACATAAATATATTTTTATTTGTATTTAGTCAAAGTTAAGAACCTTTGACTCATCGAGAAGCGAGGGTTACATTCTTTATCTTTGACTCTTCAGGAAGCTAGGGTTACATTCTTTTTTGGGCCGAAGGTAGTAATCCCTCGGTCCCTGAAAGAATCAGTTCCTGGAGCAAAAAATTGTCCACGAATAAGTAGATTCCTAGAGGACGACGGTCGGCCCATTTAATACTCCTCATATTTTCATCCTATTTATTGCTGCATCCGCTTGGTCAATTCTGCTGAATGATGTGACCAGCACGTAACACATTAGTGTGCAACTTAATGGTGACACTCAAAATAATCAAGGATAATATGGTCATTTGGCGGCTGTATTAATTTGTCTGAAACTTACTATTTATTCCGGGATGGAGTGAGTAATTACTAAGCTCTTGTTTAGTTGGACTCCAAATTCCAAAAAAGTGCTACAGTATCTGTCACATCGAATGTTTACGGCTCGTGCATGGAGCATTAAATGTAGATAGAAAAAAAAACTAATTGCACAGTTTGGTGGGAAATTGCGAGACAAACGTTTTGAGCCTAATTAGTCCATGTTTGAACACTAATTGCCAAATAAAAACGAAGATGCTATAGTAGCCCTAAATTCCAACTTCCTGCAACTAAACAAGGGCTAAAGCGCAAGCACGACTGCACAGTGGCCCGGGCGGCCTCATCTGACTAACCAAACCGCTTGCCGTCGCGAGCCCAACCCCGCACCGTTTCTTCTCCGAATCTCCGCTGCTCCGTCTCCTCTGGTTCGATGACCTGACTCACTGCTCCGCCACGCCGCGTTCGGATCCGGCCCTGAGCCTTTCCCGATCCCGCCCGGTTCCCTGCACCGCTCGGCACGATCCGCACCCGCTCCACGACCGGTCCGCCGCTGAGCTCCCGGCGCTTCTGCGGCCGGCGCCATGGCGACCGGCGGGGGCACCGAGCAGGCACCGGCGGAGGCCGAGCCGCTGGAGCTCGTGCTGTTCCAGGTCGCCGAGTGCTACGTCTACCTGGTTCGCCCCCTTGCCCTGCCTCCGACACTTTCTATTTCATTCATGGATAGTTGTAGTGGAGTAGTATCCTGTGCTCTGCCCATGCTAGCACTCCTCTGCAGGTTTGGGCGGCAAAGTTCGTCTGAAGCGTGCTAATTAGGTTGTGGGTTTATACGCAGATACCTCCGAGGAAGACGGCTGCCTCCTACAGGTGCACTTCTTGTCTCACCAAGGGTGTGGTAGTCGACTCGGTAGGATCTGGAATGCAATTCTTTATGCCTGGAATGCAGACACAGTTAGGAGTGGCTGTCAGTGCTATGTGCTAGTTTTCGATCTTAATAATATAAGACTTTGACTTGGCTAAGGGCCGTCACAGAAATTTAGGCATTTTCACGTTAAAATTAATTCAGAAAAATAATAACAAATTTGTGATGACAAATATGTGCACGTGTGTGGTTTTACTACTGCTCGGATTAGTAGCAAATATGTTCATAAACAACATACTGATCATAGTGAAAATGAGATTGAATTTAACCAATTTGAGAATAGAGATGTACCCTGCGGAGGGACCCATGTTCAAAGCACCGGTGGCTCCAGTCCCACTCATGGTGAGTTGCTCGAAGTCGCGGACCATAGTCGGTGCAGGAAGATGTACGCAGTGTAGTCCCTCGAACGTCCACCGGGAAGTAGATGATCCGAGGAAGAAGAAGAAGACGTACGCAGTGCAGTCCCTCGAACGTCCACCGGGAAGTAGATGATCCGAGGAAGAAGAAGACGTCGGCAGTCACCAGGAAGAAGCGAGCAGTCGCGAAGACGCTCCCCAAAAACCTGATCACCCGCACACCCGAGCAGATGTCACAGATGCAGACGGCGGTTCTAGAGGCCTGCTCTCCCAACTCTCCGTGCGCGCAGAGGATCGGGACGGGGAAACTTAGAAGGCAACGCAGTAGTGAGAAGTGGAAAACACTAATTGACTATCTTAGGATTTTCCAAACTAGGAACTTCCAATGATAGTTCTATTGTTGTTATATCTTTTTCCAGGAGGATTGGTACATATATAGGGAGGAGAACTCCCTACCTCCACATCAACTAGCAATATGGTACTAATTGACGTTCCACCTTCCACCTCTACTCATGGACTTAAACAATAAAGCCCATTAAGGAACACATATATTGGGCCTTTGAGATTTATTAGAATTTCTTCATTTGGATTTAGGGAATTTTATCCATATAAATTCTAACACGTTTCACCTATGCTTAGTTGCTTCCCACATTTGCTCAGAGACCATTGGAGTGGTTCATTTCATGATTGTGCTCATTCCTTCCTGATTCAGTACAAGTTGGGACCAATTTGTTCCATGGAAATAACCGATTAAACTCGTGGTAAAATCCAGGGCGGATGAGTGGAATGTCAACAAATGGGAATGGGAAGGGGCGCTTAAGGTTGTCAGCAAGGGAGAGGAATGCATCATCAAACTAGAAGATAAGAACACGGGTATTATAGTTTTGAGTGTTTTTGGCCAATTTCCTTTTTCTTCATCACAACATTGATTCAGTGAATGTGTTTCAGGGGAGCTTTACGCCAGGGCATTTCTCAGAGAGGGTGAACCACATCCCGTGGAACCTGTAATTGATAGCAGCAGGTCTGTATCTAGCACTGCCACAAAATATAATCCAATCTTATAATTAACTATGTGCCTTTGTATTTTCCACTGTCCATAAGAAAACTACTCGAAGATTATAAGCAGAGCCTGACATGATTCTTGCTGCTTGAATATTTTTCTTGCAGATATTTTGTACTACGCGTTGAAGAGAATATAGGTGATGACTGTCTTTCTATTGTTTTCTTGAACACACAGAGAGCTCTGCCATTTCATTAATATAGAAGAAAAAAGTTTGTTAGTTCACAGGCCCTAACTGTCCATTAATAACATTAACAATACGGCATATGTACCATGGGCATAGTATAAACGACCCACTTAGGGATTACCTAAAGAAATCTGAACGCAATACTCAGAGATTTATTGCTTCAGCTCTATACCATAAGGATCCTTCATTTGTCACAGCTTAAAAAACCTTGTTTGGTTTAGGAGACACTCCATTGATAAAACTAGACCAATCCTAAAAGGAATAGGTGGCTTTATTATATTAGTATTAAGAAGAAAATAAGAACTCAAATTTGCCTTAATGAGGACTTGGACCTTAGGTGTTGTGGCCTTGTGGGCGTACATCCACACCCTCAGCCAGCTGAGCTAGGTCTTGAGGATCATAGCACTTGGTACTTAATGTTGAATTGATGTGGCTACTTCAGTCTCATGTTGGGTAATATATTAGCATAACAAATCTTATCGTCAACTTCAGGTGGGCGTCAGCGTCATGCTTTCATAGGTTTAGGCTTCCGGGAAAGACCTGAAGCATATGACTTCCAAGCTGCTCTACATGATCATATGAAGTATCCTTCTGTTCATTAGAAACATGTTATGAACCATGTAATTTTCTTTTCCTGGGCGATTCCTCAATGACTAGGAGTTCTATGTGTGGAATTCTATTTGATGTGGCCATTGACCTTTGATTTTCGATTAGCAACTGTACATTATAGATTGTTGCCTGTTACCTTTCAACATTTGATTATTTGATCTTCTACCCATGCATTCAGATCTTAGTTTATTTGGCAATCATGTTTTAATGTGAATTCTATGAAATATTTCTATATTTTTTCACAAGGAATTCAGTTCATTTTCTGCGATAATCATTTTGTGATTATGCTTCCAGTATCTTCTTTATATGATGCACTAGTTTTTCTCTATGATTTGTTCTTCTCTTACATTATCAAAGATATTTAAACAAGAAGAAGGCTGCTGAAGAGATGGTTCAGCATTATGAGAAGCAATCATCAGTGGATTACAGCCTCAAAGAAGGGGAGACATTGGTTCTTCAGCTTAAAAATGTAAGTTTCCATCTAAAAGTTTTCTGGAAGAAAATGACATCACATCCTGTTGACGAGAGATTGTCTTATAAGGTCTGCAGAACTAGAATATTGGATGTGGTGCCGCATTAGGTGGATATGTTCATTGGATAGATTGCAATAAACTTTTAGATCATGGGATCCTTGTCAAATCTATGTGTCTAAGAAAAACATTGGTCAATATATGACATGTTTATCTAGAATATTTTCATGTAATTCCGTTTACGCATAGTTCCCATTAGATTTCTCTTATTTAAGCAACGCATGCTTGCATATCCATAGATATTTAAATTGAGGCTTTGAGCTACTCTTGCATAGGAACCTGAAAAAAAATTGAGTGCTCATGTACTGCATTGAAGGGTATTTGCAGTGATGTGCCAAATTTTGTGTAAATAAAGCGTTTATTCATAATTTTTGTAACATGTGCATGCATCCCTTTTCATTCAACTTTTATATCTACATTTATCTTTGTGTAATTGTTTCCTGAGTGTTTGGCTTTTTTTTTATTCTGTGCAGAAAGAAAGTGGCACCAAGACAAAATCGGCATTTTTTGAGCAAGGCCTAAACAAGCTCTCAGTGAACGAAAAGACAAACACCAAGGAGACCCCCGTCTCCCTTAAACTCCCACCACCACCTTCGCCTGTCTCTCCAACGGATTCTGGAGTCGCTGCTTCGCCTTTCAAAGCAGAATTTCCTCCCCAAGAGCAACCAGCTGCTGAACCCATGAGCAGAACCAGCGCTCTCCCTTCCAAAGGTGAACCTGCTCCGGAGCTACCAGCTGCTGCAGAGAAGATGGAGCAAGAAACCGTGGATGACGACTTCGGGGACTTCCAGGCTGCTGGGTGATATCATGTATCTTGTACATACAGAATGTTACTGAGACCACATTTTCATTTTTGGTTTATCTTCTTTCAATCAGTTGTGACTTCTGCCGGCACTCTGTGTTCCTGTATAGAGAGCTTCCATCTCATAACAACCTATATACAAATACATGGACAAACGTTGTACCTTTTGTTTTGACGTAACATGTCAGATTTTGTATTCAGGCCACGGAGATACAAAAATTCGCAGATCAACATTGTCTTAGCTATTCTTGGAGATTGAGACGGTGCCGGGGGCAGCAAGGAGGGCGAGAGAAAGCGAGAGGGGGCAAGAGGATGCCCCTTGTGAGGAGAGAGGAGGAAGAAAGGAAGAGGGGCTACCGCCCATGTCCCCGTAGACATGGAGGAAGAAAAAGCAAGAGGATGCCCCGTGTCTCCGTTACTCCGTAGACAAGGAAGGAGGAAGATAGAAAGCAAGAGGGGCTACCGCCCATGTCTCCGTAGACAAGGAGGAAGGAGGAAGAGAGAAAGCAAGAGGATGCCACATGTCTCCGTAGACAAGGAGGGAGGAGGAAGAGAGAAAGCAAGAGGGGCTACCTCCGGTCTTATGTAAGCAAGGCGAGCGTTACACATTCAGTTATCAAGACATACATCTCCAACTCTCAGAACCAACACCGAGCCAAGCAGAAATAAACATCGAACCAACTGAACTGACATCGAGCCAAACAGAAAATAAGCAGTATTTGGCTAGACTCGTTTTTGTGCGTTACAAGTATATAAAAGCTAGCAACGTGGCTGGATGTCAGAAGTGTTTATAGGGTGGTTGCTTGATTGCTTCGCATTGTTGAGACGAGTCATTCCATGACTATGTCATCTCGCCATCTCTTGTATCAAATCGTAGGAAATGATATTTACAGTAGTCAAAACCATTGTAATATATCAGACCTCGACGAAATCGTCTTCGTCAGTTTCATCTACCCACTCGACCTGTGAGTAAGATGTGGATTTCATCAAGTCCGTGAGGCCGGTTAGGTCTTCCAAATAAGTTGGTTCATTGATCACTTGCATCACAAAATCCATTCCTCTCCTCCGATATTCAGACAATACCTGTGATGTTTTGCATGTAATCAAATAAGAGATCGGTAGCATAGCTGTCAGCAAACTTTAGTATCGTTTGCATTGTTGGAACTGGAAAAGGATGAAACTCACACGACAACAAACTCAGGCACTCCCAGAACTAAAACCGAAGCAACGCCAACACACGAGAGCAGACATATTTGTGGCTGGCGACGCATGCCTTTTCTCTGTATTCTCAGTTAAAAAGCAACAACCATGCTGCGTACTTGGCTCATATGCCAGCTTACGTGCCCAAGGGAGCATGTATCAATTGCCCTGATCTATGCACACGCACGCACACTCCGCACCAGCGTACACTGCAATGACACGGTCCACTCACGTCCCCTGATCAAACCACACCTCATAACGTGCCCAACTAACCATGCAGCAGCTAACTACTTGCTGCCAACTAAGCATGCAAGCAGCTAAATACTTGCTACACTAAGCTTTTCAAATTTCAATAATGCCCCGGCCATTAGCTAGACGAGCTGCACACACGCTTCTGACTAGCACCAGCTAACAAGCTAACTTGTACATGCAACGAACATGAAGAGACTCTAAACTTACAAGACACATATCCACTACTAACTCATATTTACTCATGCAGAGACTCTAAAACTTGCACAAGTCGCTGCAAGTGCTAACATGCATGTTGTGCAAGAGAAGAAAGTTTACATACCGCATTGGAACATGCCGTGCAATTACTCGAGGAATAGCCCAGCAGGGTTAATAAGTTGTACTGCAATATTGATCCACGCATCTGGTGAGGTAATATACCATGCTGATTACCACTGCTTGTACCAGCAATCTCTCCTGGAGCATGTATCCTGCAACAGGTAGAAGTCTTTATCAGACTCCTTACTTTTTTTTCACTGGATGCAGTTAGCATCTTCCTTGGAAATGATAACACATGAAGTCATAGTATCGTTCCAGCTTCCTGGTGCCCAGTTGCTTACCCATCTGGATGATGTAACATTCTTGTGAAAAGGTCTGCGGCACGTCCAGATGCAATAGAGGCCAACCCAGGTCGTGTCACTGTACATTGTTGATCCAGTGTCCGATTGGAAACTGACTGCATCAAACATAATGACATGATTGTAGTAGGTAACATATATATTAAAAGCAAAACAAGTATGATTTCCAAAGCATGGAACATTACATCAACAGGAGCAATGATGTCATTGCAGAAATAACACCCCAGCCTTTGACGCCCAAGGGCATCCTCTGTGGACAGCTTATCTGTGGCAGTGGCCACATTGGAAGCTTCGCAGCTTATGCCAGGACCAGACCCATGTCGCATGACAAGGTAACTATCATACCCTAATGCTGCAGTAATAGCAATCTGCAGTGCAGAGGGGCATTAGCATATAACACATTCCAAGGTCTACATTATTCAAGGATTCCTAGAGGATTCACCTTGTTGTCGTTAGTGCAGAGGAGAGTTGGAAGCCACCTACTTTCTCTTGTGTCGGTCAACAAGAAGATAGCATCGTGAGAAGCCACTAATTCCTTAAGGCGCTCGCAATCTTGGAGCACACCAGCTTCTTCACCCGGAGACACAGGATGCCCAGGCATAGGTATTTCCATTTTAATGCCTTGTGCATCCTACATGAGCGCATGGCACATATTCATTAAGATGAGAAAACAGTAAAAGAAAAAAGGAAGTAGTATAGTTTTAAGGGCGATGAAGTGAAGACTCACCACTGAAGGACATCTCTCCACTAGATGCCTAAGTATTGCCGTTGCTTTTGGAGCACCACGGTCATCAGAAGTATAGAGTGATTGTCTTGCTAAATTTGACACAACTACACGACCACTATCAACTATTGTTAGCTTCCGTACACCACAGTCCTGCAGAGTTGGTTTCCACCAGAGTGTATGAGTAGATGTTGTATTTTAACATAAAAGTAACATCATTCGCAATACTGAGTCACTGACCATAAGAATGCGAGCAACATCACATCCAAGAGTTCCAGCACCCAATAGTAGACATCGGACATCAGAAATCTTGTCTGAATTTACAGAGATGCTGGCTGGTATTTTAGGACAAGTATCTGGCCTTTTCAAATCAGAAATGCCTGTAAAATCTTTCAGATATGTTGGATAGTTGATGGCCTGCATGACAAAATCCAATCCTCTTCTTCTATACTCTGACAATACCTGGAATGTTTAGCACGGAGTAACATTAGAAACCGTAAAATTGTGAGAATGTAATGTCATGAGGTAGAATTTACTTACAGCAACAGAACATGCAGTACAATTGACCGAGGAATTGCTCAGCTCCATAGATAAACCACACTTTGGGAGTGATCCCCGTAGCTGATGCGGCAATAGACCAAGCTGATGTTCTGTTTCCATACCAGCAGTATCGCCTGGAGCATGTATCCTGCAAAAGGGTATGATACTTATGGCACCACATGGTGGACTGAATATTTTTTTTCAAACTTCCCTACTGCTTAGCTTACTCAGGTCCGTAAAAAAGACTAATATTCACTATCAATGCTACACAAACATAAGTTGGACTCAGCAATAATCTTTAAGGCATCTTACTCGTCAGGGTGATGTAGCATCCTAGCAAAGAGCTCCACTGTTTTGCCAGATGCAACTGAGGTAAGTCCAGGTAGTGTTTCATAAGGAATTGGCTGCAAAAGAATAAAACTGAACATCAAGGGCCAATAATAAAGTATAAAACAGAAACAACAGGAGACACATGTACCTTAATAAGGGAAGCAGCATCATTGCAGAAACAACAGCCCAATCTTTGATGACCAGGAGCACCTTCTGTGGACAAATTTTCTATCTGAGTAATCACTTCATCTGTACCCCCACTTGTTCCAGGTCCAGCACCATGTCGCATGACAAGGTAACTGTCACATCCTAATACTGCACTAATAGCAATCTGCAGTGGAAGTATAACATATCATTAGTAAATAGCAGCACTATACACAATGAAAAAGTAGAGGTTAACAGTAATTTTTGTAACTAAGACGTGTGGTTAATTTATCTGGATTCCCTCCTCCAGCCATAGGCTAAGTACTTAGACATTGCTGTACAAGAACAGCCGAAAAGGTCCTTAGCCAATGGATACTGTGTTCAAGCTTTACCTTGTTTCCACTTGCACAGAGAAGAGTTGGAAGCCACCTGCTCTCCGATGTGTCAGTTAACAAGAAGACTGCATCATTGGCAGCCACTAATGTCTGCAGATGCTTGCAGTCATCAAGCACACTTGCCATTTTGCTGGAAGAAACAGGATGCCCAGGCACCGGTATTTCCATTTGGATGCCTTCAACCTCCTGCATGACAGCAATCACCATCAGTTATCCACATCAGAAATTCGAAAGCATATGTTTCAAGGAAAAGACTGTCCTCACCACTGCAGGACATCTTTCTTTTAGATGTGGAACTATTGCAGTTACTCTTGGAACTCCACAGTCCTTATCTATGTAGAGTGATTGCTTGACAAGGTCAGACATCACAACACTACTACTATCAACAACTGTTAGTTTCCGTACACCCCAGGTCTGAAAAAAGAAATGGTTGCCACCATAAATTAGAAGCAGGATATAATGACATATAATCTGTTAGATTTATTACAAATAGGAATCTAGTACCAAGCACTAACCATAAGAAGGCGAGCAACTTCACATCCAAGAGTTCCAGCACCCAAGAGAAGAACTCGAACATGAGATAACTTGTCTATATTCACAGGAAAGTGGCGCCACCCCATAAGCTTTAAGTGCATCAATTGTTTTTCTTCATCCTGACTGTGCATGAAATAAACAATCAAGATAGTTTTTTATGCACCGTTGATTATATCGAAACTCAAAGGCAAAATATACAATAAAACCACCTTGCTGGATTCATTGATTGAAGATTTATTTCTTTTGGTTTCATTTCTTTTGTTCCCTT